GAGAAAATGAAGAAGAAGAGCTGCTGTGCTGTAGCTTCAAATTTTCGGCATGTCTAGAACAATTCTTACAAGTATAACACGACGTAGCTGGGCGCCGCGGACAGATGCCGAACGGCGCCGCCGGTGTGCCTACACTCATAGAAAATAATGTGTTCGAATTTTAAAGCTGTGGCGCGACGCTGTGCTTCTCGTCCGGTGTACGACCGCCTGAAACAGTGGTTGCAATTTACTTCTTAACTCTGTTCCTGAGCATTATAACCCCAATTTGCTATTGTGTGCTGTGCATTTTACTGAGGACAGCTTCCACATCACGAGTGAGAAGTGCCGGATTCGCCAAAAGGTTTTGTTGAAAGACGGAGCAAGGGGGCGTGGCAGTATGAACACCGTCTAAGCTGTTCGCCAATCACAACTCACTGGGACAGCTAACCAATCACAACACATTTTGTTTTTCGGAAGGCGGACCTTCATCAAAGCCGGAACTAATCGAGCCGTTTGTGCCAAGATGGGGAGAAAGGTATTGTAATAATGTAAATTATGTGAAAAATAATGCGTTTTTCGAACCACCAAGCATGAGAGCATGTTCTAGTACACCCCCAAAACAAAATCAAGACTTTGTAAAAGAGCATAATAGGACCCCTTTAACATCAAAAAGGGAATTCACGAACAATAACTGCTTTATTTTTTCATATTAGCTATATTATATTATATTAAATTATTATTAAGAATTGAACTCCTCTTCGTAAGATTTTTTTTTTAATGATTTTTAAATAGAATTTCTTGGTAAGTAACACAGCACTGTAAAAATGTTTTCTCAGGTAACCTAAAATGTGCATCATTAAGTTACATCAAGGGTCAAATCAAATATATACAGTTAAAAGTTACACACTTTTGTGTGTGTGCTGGACAGGTCTAGTATAAAGAATATTTTTGCTCAGGTGGCTGAAATGTCCGCCCAATTGGGAAATGTTTTGCTCAGCAAGAAAAAAAAATAGAGGGAACATTGATTAAGGGATCTAAATGTGCATGCAGAATAAAACATTAATATGTGCTTCATAAGTACTAATAAACAGCCAATATGTTAGTAATATGCATGCTAATAGTCAACTAGTTAATAGTGAGAATTGGTCCTTAAAATAAAGTGCTACCATATTCTTACATTTAATTTTAGTAAAACGTGAGCACTAGTGATGCGCGGATGAGCTAAAACGTCACCCGAATCCGCAGCTTCAAATAAATCATCCACCCGCCAACCGCCCGCACCTGTATTTTTGTCTGATTTAGATAACCGCACCCGATCATCACATTAGGGTTCGTTCGGTCATAAAAAACCTGGAAAAGTCATTGAACAGCAATTTCCAGGCCTAGAAAGTTTTGTAAAAAATAAATAAACTCAAAAAGTTTTTGAAAAAATCATGAAAATATATTTCACAATTCTCTGTATAATAGAATTATGTTTAATCAGATCCTGAATTTCGTTGCGGGATTGCGCATACATCGCATTACTCATTCCCGCAGCTTT